AGTGCAGCGTTTGTGTCGTGCATTGCCTCGCATTGCATGATACAAATACTGACCACAGAGGGACTCGAACTACACACAAACAGCCAACCAAATTAATCAGTGAAGGAGTCAGTCTGGCAGAGAGCGTCGCTGTGGGAGGAGAACTGGATCTCGTTCCTCAGCTTTGGAGCCAAACTCTGCCGAGAGCAACACCTACCTGGATGACCCACTGTCTGTGCTGCCAAGCGTGGTAGTTCTTTGCATCTTGGCTGAGAATGTCTGCGATGAACTGGAGTTCCTCCGAGGGGTCATTCAACCACTCGACCACCATACGTCTGTGATGCCTGGAGCAGAAGGAGGAGTTTAGAAAGCCGTCCTTATCTTCCAACTTTTTCATTAAACTTGAGTCGTTTTAGGAATGTCCCACTCCCACTCTCCTCTCTATGTGCTCTGGATAAATTCACATACTGCACTTACCAGACTTGATAGTTTTTGGGTTGCTCTTCAATAATGTTAGTAATGTACTTCATCTCCTCCTTTAGGTCCTTCGACAGGGCTTGCAGGAGTACTCGCCTGTAGTGCCTGGACAGTACCACAGCATATGTTAGATTACATTTTCACAGAAGACACTCATTTCTAAACAAAACAAACACATTTTATACTCTGATGCTGTTTTAAAATTGTGACTGGCCTGAGGCACTGTACCTATAAACAGTACTACTTAACTATGAATGTCATCTCCTTTGCTCTTTTTCCCCATTATGTGTAAATGCTACAACATCAAAAGATCAGCACTGCTTTTCCAGCAGGCAAAATGCTCACCAGACAGTGTAATTTGCAGCATTTAGGTCAATGGCATCTGCAGTCAGAGCGAAAGCCCGCTCAGTTTTTTCATCATTCTTTAGGAGGGCACGGAAATAGTCGTAGACATCTGAGACTGTTGGAAGAAAGACGTGAACATTAGATATGAAATCCTTCTGCAATCATATTTCATCTGAAATAGTTTGGATTTTAACAGACAAGTGGCATATTAATGGAAAAAACAACATAATGTGCCTAAAGGAAGGAAAGTACAGCAAGGAAGCCAGGTGCCACCAGTACGGCAATGATTCTCCAAGTGTTTGGAAATCTCCTGGAGGCATAGAACACCATTATTCCAAAAAAACCAAAAAAAACCAAAACAAACTACTTTGGTATTTTTACAAATTAGGATGAGGGTACTGGCAGTCAAAAATGTCCCAAACAGCAAATGATATTTGCTGTCATTGTCAAATGTCATTTTCATAATCATAAAACCTTTCAGTGATCACTTGAGCCCCATCGTATGGTTTCATGACAGGATGAAGATGACTACCGTAAATGTCGGGCTATAAGCCGCTACTTTTTGCACAAGCTTTGAACCCTGCGGCTTTTAGTCAGGTGCGGCTTTTCTATGGATTGTCCGTGATTTTTGTCATATCGTAAGACGATTTGTTTTGTGTGTTCCGCTGTTGTACGGCACTACGTTGCCTGGCGGAAGGATCGGGGTTCAAGAGTGGTATGTTAGTCACATGTCCGTCCGCCAGGCAACGTAGTGCCGTACGAAGTAGCGCGAAAAACAAACTTCAAAGTAGCGGTACGCGTTCAGCGGGAGTCGTGGATGATGAGCGGCGATAAACTTGCAAGTTATGCCCAAAAAGCAAGTTATGCCCAACTCCACCGGTGGATTCTGACAGCGTGGAAAAGTGTGAAAACATCCACGATCACCAACGGATTTTGAAGGGCTGGACTGCTGCATGATGGAGAGGAGGACACCGCCACGGCCCTTCTGAGGGTGTTCGACTCTGACACTGACAAGAGGATTTCTTTGGTTTTGAAAGTGACAACGAAGGAGAGAAGAGAGATGGACATCGAGCTGTTCGACATGGAGAGACTTGGTTTAGTGGCAGAGAGAATGTGAAGCAAGAGAACGAGAGTGACGACATCTGAGCCTGTTTGTATCCGACACTGGAGAAGAGGACTTTGGTGGTTTTAGTGCGCAGGAAGAAGAGAAAGATGGTGGTGAATCACTGACTTTTCTTCTTGTTAAAGCTGTGTCACTGCACCTGAGCCTAAAAGGTAGTCCGAATCTATTTTTCTGGTGTGCTGTAGGCTACTGTTATGTACTACATGTGCAAATATGTACCCATAACTTGTTTTTCAAAATATTAATAAAAGTGATGTCTCCAAACAGCCATCTCTTTCCTGACAATTCCCTTTGTGCATATTCTCTTACATATGATAAGTCAACATTGAAACACCTGCGGCTTTTGGTCAGGTGCGGCTAATGTATGTACAAAACAGGATTTTCCCCTGATTTTAGCTTGTGCGGCTAATATTTAGGTGCGCTTTGTAGTCCGGGAAATACGGTACTTAGATCATAGGTGTCAAACTCTGGCCCGTGGGCCAAATTTGGCCCGCAGCCTAATTACATTTGGCCCACGAAGCCATACAAAATTACTATTAGAGCTGGCCTGCCAGTATTATACAGTGCATGTACTGCTAATACTACAATTCCCAGAATGCTCTGTTGGTGTTTTGGCACGTCAGTCATGACAGGACCCATTAGCACCCTCTCCTCTGTTGACCATAGTCATAGCAACCATGCAAATACTGCCATGCTACCTATCCCAAAATGGCAAAAAGAAAGGCAGAAAACAGGAGCTTTCTGGACAGGTGGGAGAATATGATGAAAATTTGATAAATGATAAAATTTAATTCAGAAGGCTGCAAATACATTTTTTATTTAAGAAATGAATTCCACTGATGTGTTATTTAATTGGAATTTTGATTTTGCATGTGTGCAATATTAAGTTATATATACGTTTATATAAGTTATATATATTGTTTAGTATTAAGCTTTGCTTGTTCCATATTCAGTTTTTCAGCAAAACTTGTTTGAGTCCATAAGAAAAGATTCATTGTTATATTTGGAGGAAGATTTTTTTTCAATGAATATTAATGTTAGCCCGCGACTTTGATCCAGTTTTGAATTTTGGCCCACTGTGTATTTGAGTTTGACACCCCTGACTTAGACGTATAATATCTTGCAGTGACCTTTCCCTCTACCCACTTCCTTGCTGTCTTGCAATTCCCTATGAGCCTTCCATGGTTCACTAGCAATCTTACACTTTTCCGAGTAGGCAATCTTCACTACAGGATTTGGTCCATCATCCTGTGGAACAGGCTCCAGGTCAGCCCACTCCTTTCTGTCTCTGAAACACAAAAACACGGAGGTGGATTAACTGTCAGTACAGCCTGACAGTAGCTAATGTATTTAGTTACACAGGGCCAAGATCCATCTAGAAACAAATATATTGTAGATAATCACCAGCCCAGTCACCAGTTTTTGGTCCACAAATAAGGCTTTAAGAACCATTAAACTTACTACTACCACGTCTGTTGTCACTAAATTCTCCCATAAATTCAATTCAGGCTTCTGTGAGTATTATATCTCTTGATATAATGTCTCTGACTGAGCTAACTACTTTGGGGGGGAATGTGTACACCGTTTTTGTGATCAACCAATGCATTTATCAGCCATTTCTGACCGCCATATAAACAAGGAGGTCTCCTATTCTTGGGTAAAAGAAAACCCAAACAGCAAAGTCATTACAATGCTGCTGATTGTCATCTGACACTTTGGAGGGGGCGGCAAAAAAAGCCTCTGTGCAAGGAAAAAAACTGTAAATGCGATAACTGTTTAGCTTTATACTGAAATCATTAAGACAAGCTGTGACGTTAGGACGCCAAATTAACCTGGGTACTATTCTTTCTGAAGGTATTGGCTAGAATAAACGTACAGAGCTGAACCTTCTATTAGAAAGAGGGCTGTTAGCGCAACTCCTCCGGCTTTCCATCACAAAGACGATAATTATAGTGCACTTTTGACAGCTGCTAACAAAACTCGTATTAAACTATAAGTTATCAAACATTACCGCGTTATAACAAACACGAGCTACAGAGTAGTTACTAAGCACCGGTAGAGGAGCGACCAAAGCTAAGTTAGCCACCCAAAGAGAAAGTGATAACTAGACACTACCTGTAAAATATGTATCGAGTCGGGTCAACAGCAAATTCATCCTCGATGTGCTCCTCGACCTCTACATCAAACTCTTTGTCTTCGTTAACTTGTACAGATTCAACTGTTTCCTCAATGTCCGACATTGCTAACTAGTTAGCTTAATCGCAGTTGTGCTCCGTTGAGAAAGAAAACGTCATATCCGGTGTAGCGGAAAAAGTTGCCTTTAAGTGCTACTGGGAAATGGAGATTTTCTTTCCTTAATTATCACCTAATAATAATAGACAGCCACACTTCTCCAGTTTATGGAGATAAGTTTATGCAAATGATTTTAAAAATACCACGCTGTCTTTCAAACGGTGCTATTTATTTTTCAGTAGCTTCAACTAAAGAAACTGAAACAAATGTTACTTTGTAAAAGGCTGCTAGTAACAAAGTGCCTAAAGATCCAAGTATTGTTTTTGCCACCTGTGTAGACAAAACACTGGTTCATTCCTTGAGTTAGGTGCCTTGTTATGTATGAATGATTCATAGGTCAGTGGTTTTTCTGCCTTTTCAGTTATCAAATCCCACAGTGACTGTTCCAGCTGGTCTTCATGTCACACAGTTTAGTCTCAGTTTATGGATGTTTGTTTTCAACCTGTTACAACTCATCTGACTTTTAAATTTCTGATGGAGTTGTAACTGTGTGTGTTCATCAGTTAAATGTGTGAAATGTTCACATTAATTAAAATACACCATCCACTAGTTTCTAGATTCCTGCTGTGTCTATAGGACCTGCCGAGGTTCACCATGTTCTGGCTCCCTCTTATGGCAGGATTTGGTTGACATATATTTGGAGAATAGAAAAAACATAAAACTATTAAAATACAAATGTCATGCAACTGGAAGTCAAATTTCACTTTACTTGCCAAAACCTGGGGCCTCTTAATCACATGCCAAACTCTTGACAACACATGGATGTGAAATCATTTCATTAAAGCAAGGTCAAGCAGAGGTTTATTTCCATCAACAACTCTGGACATTATAAAAATAAATAGATGATTCACAGTCAGTGGATTGTAATACAAACTGTTATCAAAATTATGTATCAGCCAGAATGAAAAACTGAACACATGCATAATCACCATTCCATGAACTTATACATGTCCTGAATACGTAAGAACAAAATCCTTTTTGTCAACAGAACTGTTTGGGGAAATATAAAATCATCATTCAAATCAGACAGCTATGCAACGTGAATATGCTTCTTTCCATAATTGCTTGACCCAGACTGTTCAGTGACCGTCTTCCTGCTCCAATCCATGCTTTTCAATGTAGCGTCTGGAAGAAGGGAAAAGAAAAAGATTAAATACAGCTTTTATTTAGCATCATAAAAGTTTAATAAACACAACTACAGATGCAACTCTGACACGTCCAGACTCCCTGTGATTGTACAGTTGTGCTCTTATTAGGGTCTAAGACCACGCTCATGCCAAATTATTTTGACTTTTAGGTAATAGTGGCATGAAGGGAGAAAAAAAAAATTGATTCAGCACCACGACAGTATTTTATTATCTTGATATTTTGCATGTTCATCAGGCGCATCAAATATCTATATTTAAATAAATTCAAATACTCTGGTAATATGACAAGAGAGCTCATCTCATGCACCACCATCCAGAGATCATGTTTGCCAAGAAAACTTACATTAAATCGGCTGAAGCAATAAATAAAATCACTGGACACGCACGTCCGAGCTCAGAGCAAGCTGAAACCTCAGTCTCACAAGTTAAAAAAAAAAAAAAAAAAAAAGGGGAATGGCACTGACATACTCAGTTATTGCTTACATAGTTACCAAAACATTTAGTGCTACAATTGACACCAATGCTCACATAAGATTTCTTCTCTTACGATTTCCAGCTTTATTACCTTTATTTAAAAAAAATGCACTGATGTATTTTCAGCCACGTGGGGGCAGCACAACAACCTTTAACAAAATACTTACCTATTACCACAACACAAAGTTTGTATAGCAGATGTGTTTGGACACAGCTGCACTCATGAGAAAATCCAGCAGACTCACAACAAAGTTAGCATTCATTTGGAGTCATCCCTCTGGCTTTTATTAGACTATAAATAAAATTATGCTAATGCTTCACTGTGTTCATCAGTGTCTTTCCGCCGTAGGTTTTGCCAGGTACCGTTTGTTGACAATTTGTTCTCCAAAATTGAGTTTAGCGATGTGGATGTTGTTTGTCAAAACAAAGTTGTGGAATTTAAATTTGTAAAGACACTTTCTGTTTTGCATACGATCTGTGCTTGGTGTTGCTCGAATACTGTGAAGAATCAGAAATGAACAACACACTCAACCCAAAGCAAGAAAATCTCAAATCAAATGAATGTTGCATAACTTCTCAGCCCTGAACAACGAACAACCAAACAGCTTTGGCTGCTCTCTCAGGTCTCTTATTAAGATGAACTGTAATAATACCCGATGACAGTTCAAAGTCCAGAAACACTTGCTTAAAGCAGTAAAGATAATAGTTACTAGAAAAACTCACCTTCGTGCAAAGTTATACAGCGCTTCTTTTCTTTCTTGGAGAGACAAATGTCTGTCGGTTGGTGATTTCCCAAAAGTTTTGGCAGCAGGCTATGAATAAAAACAAAATGGAATTTAAAAAAAAAAATAAAAAAAAATAAAACTGCAAAAAACAGATATTCTTATTAACATTCATATACACAGATAAGCCAAAACTAACAGAAGACAGTAGGGCTCATTATATTGTACGGATGTATCTGAGGGTCTGGGATGTGCAGTCTTAAAAAAAATAAGGAGACGGCCGCTTCACGTCTCACTGATTTTGACAGCATGTGATGGACCGACTGCATATTGGGCTCCTTTACTATAAATAATATCTTAGTGATTATTATCATGCAGTGCAGCTAAAATGTAAGGTAAATAGAGTGATAAAAAGACACTGATATGGAGCTTATGAGATCAAAAGATCAAGATCATCTTCTTGTACACCTCTGGACAGCTTGTGCCTTTTATGGACCTTTTCGGTATCACTTCATAAATAATAATTTTTTACCCAACTTATTAGAGCCTGACAAATACATGACTTTTTTGCCTGGTACCAATAATTCAATGATTTAAAATTTGACAGGTTGTCCTCTTATCGTGTTTTTCTTTCAGATGCATCAAACACAAACAGATTAACATTTGCTAGATGTAGTTCCTTAGTTACCCGTTTACAATCTTCCTGACTTTACAAGCTGGTTGTTGTGTTTGTGGTGTGCCAACAGGGGAGTTGCAGAGCGCCCTCTGATGGGCAAACTTTGCAATTTCAACATTCATAACATCACTGAAGGCTGTTTCTCCTGTTCTTTCTTTACTTTTTAAAAATGTTGTTTATGACTATTACAAATGCAGATACCAACAGATCACCAAGTAGCTTATATCAGTCAATGATATTGACCCGTAAATTAATCAGATGTGCTCTATAACTTCCAATTGTCTGGTTAAATTCTAGGAAATAGGCCTTATCAAACCTTTAAGGTGGAAGCAGGACCAGAAGAATAGGAGCTGATCTTGGAAGGGCCAAAAGTAGAGATCCCCGCTGCTTCCATTGATGTTTCCTCCTTGTTCTCCAGCAGATTTGTAATGGTGGTGTCAACACAATTGGTTTTTGCTATACACAATAAAAAGAACAACTGTTAGTGCATGGCAAATGAATCTATCATTCTTTTTAAAGGACTTCTTACAAAGTGAAAGTGTGACAGAAGAGCTCAGGTGCAGAATGAACATAAAAGTGTATTCCAAGAAAATAGATGTGGTAGCCAAATGTAAGTGTACCTAAATCCTTTGTGATGACATTCAGTGGAACATGGGGCAACACGTCCTTCACCTGCTGAGCCATCTTAGCAATCCTGCGGTCATCTGTGCCCAAACTCATGAATCCAAGCCCAATAGAACCAGGTGTTACACCTACATTTAAAAAACAAAAAAAACAAACCTCCAATCAGCTGAATCTCCCACATGGACAGAGTTGATGTTGAATCATGTGACCGACTTACTTGTGGTTGTTTGTGGAACAATGCGTCTTGTCCTTTTGATGTGCTCTGCTTTATCAGCTTTAGTGATTTTGGTGGCGACCAAGCCAAGCTCAGCAGCTAGCAGCTAAACAAAAACACACAAGCAGAAAGTGGGAACTCAACTCTACTATGCATGAGGTTTTGCAACACAACAACAAAGAGATCTGTGTACAGGTGCAAGGCTTCATAACTCTTACACATATCACACACACGCATATTTGTTTTTACAATTACAAATATAACTCATGTGCATCCAAGTGGCACACGCTGTTCTTACCTCCTGGACTTTGTTGGCAAACTCCTGTGTCGACTCGCCATCTTGTCTGGATACTGTTGGGAGCCAACTGGGATGGAAACGAAACACAAAAAAGCAATGCTAAGAAGACAATCTGAACAATTAGAGCAACAGAAATACTAAGAATCAATAGAAGGTCTTTTCAAAAACTCAGACCAAAAAAAACTAACCAAAACAAAAAAAACCCAAAACAAACAAAAAACTTGCTCATGAAAGCAATATGATTTTGAAATGCACATTCATTAATCAGAAGTCCTGGCAGGAGCATGAGCCTGAGGAGGGTAGTTTGTGCCAAAAATTCACAGTTTGTGTTTTTTGGATTTTACATAACAATCTCCACAAAACCAGGTTAGGGTAAAAGAAATGAGACCTACATTGTGAAAAATGTGGCTGCAGAAAAAGATAGAAATAATGACACAAATTATTTAGTACCTTACATGATACACTGTCCATGGAACAAAAAATGTCCATAAGAGCTCCGTCAGCCAGCTGGACTCCGGTGTGCTCTGTGTACAGACAGGAGGTAATCGTGTTGTTAGATTACTTTGGTGTGCAGTCACATCATTTCATCAGCTCTTTTAAATGTCACTTTCATTCTAAATGTGAGTTCAAATGACTTTACCAAAGAGATCAATGGTCTGGTCACCCGTAAGGCCACAGGTTGGATGGATTCAGTCAGTGAGAAAGGCCAGGAGCTGAGAGAAAAAACAAATATAGATATTTAATATAGTAGCTGGTTGGCTTTGTGCTGTGAGCCAATAACAATTGATTTTATTGTTAAAGACATTCAGGATATGTGCAATTAGTCAGCTAAGCATTTAAAGGCCAATGCCTTTGGTAGTTAGCATCAGCAACATAGTGAACGGGTGATTCTGACATGGCACAAAGGAGGCGCAGCCTAAGAGAGTCTGCGTTAGGTTCCAGTAAAAGAAGAGTATCAGAGACTGTAAAGAAAAGCATGGCAATAATCACAACCTCATTATAAAGTGCAACTCCCAGCTTCTCTGGTTTTCATGTGCATCTCCACTGAGGATACAGTACACTTGTTTCAGTCTTACTCGAATTAACTATAGAAATGAATCAATTTAGCAGCTGTTTTCACTTCCTTGCACTAATTTCCCTACAACTCTAGAGGGAAATTAGTGGGGGAGACTCAACCGCCAAAGTAATTCATCTCTATCTCAATGTGCCATGAAAGAGGGATGATAATTTGTCACTGGCTGCATTAAATCACTGGGTATGGGTAAGAGGCCAAAACCGTCCCAGGGTGCTGATGAATTGCAAACACTTGCTGTGTTATCGGAGAGTTCTTGTTTATTACCGTACAGTAACATGTGTACAAACGTCACCTGAATTTGAGAAGACCGGCACGGCCATTTGTGGTGTCCTCTTCAGGAAACAGGAGCAAAGGTGTGGTGCCTTCAGCAGAGCAGTAACTCTGCAGAGACTCTCCTATGGCTCCGGAGCCTGCATGGATTTCCATGAAGCCTCTGGCCCAGCACACAAAGCCTGTGGAGCCATCTAACTGGGGCTGATAGGCAGAAAGAGATGGGTCAAATTCACCACATATTTACTATATTTAAAATACATTAAAGTACACAGGATCTTCTTTTTTCAACTGACAGACCTTGAGAATAGATCAGGTATATTATAACATGTGTTAATGCACCAGCACAATCTTGCCTCCACGCACAGCTCTCTCAGGGTCCTGTCACAGCATTTCACTGAGATTAAGGTGCATTGCAACACCTTGAGAACTGAATTTTTCAGTATATCTGTTAGAGATTTGTTCCTGTGCCTGGGATCATTGTCCTGTTGCATAACCAAATTTGGACCAAGCTTTAGCTGTCAGACAGATGGCCTCACATTTGACTCTAGAATACTTTGGTATACAGAGGAGTTCACGGTCGACTCATTGACCATGCAGTGGTCAGAGAGACTGAGCATGGGGTGAATTTGCTGGGACGTCCACTCCTAGAAAGACACATATCTGAATGCTCCAGACCAGCAAACTGCCAAACACCTCTGCTTTTATAGAGGTGCTCACAGCGCATCAAGTGCATTTGATTAAAGTTACCTGACTGCTAATTACCAGCTTAATTCCTACAAAAGTTATAATGGAATGCAGACAACTGAAAACTTTCTTCTTCACAGGACTGCATGTAGTGTCAAATTGTATTTATGTCCAAGCCATGTAATGCAATGATGTCACCATAGATTTGTTAATAGGAGGGCACTGATGCAATCAGCACACTGATATATTACACTGAATCCCTGAATGTGTAAAATATGCTGCATGACACGGTTGAGTCAGGAAAAACGTTTAAGCTAAGCACTCACTGTGCTGCAGGGGGTCAGGAGGTTGATAATGTTGTGGTCAAACTCTGTCACATGATTGCATATGTACAGCTTGGTGTTTTTGTCTCTGGAGCGGGGATTTTTCTGTCTCACATGCATCCCCAGCACCGAGCACATAACCCTCACAACAAATCTAGAAGCAAAGAAAAACAAACAAACATGATGTCAGCATTTTAACATATTTGGCAACAGGATAGTCCTCAATAGTGTAACACTGCGTGTATAATTTACCACAATATGCAATACGTACAAATATCTTTTTTCTTAACTGCTCTTATAGCCTCCAGGGCATGTACATGCTCTGGTTCTTTAATCATGCAGTCACCACCTTTCTTCAAGCTAAAATTACAGTGTGCAAAGTACAATTACCTTCCACTGGCCTCGGTAGTATTTACTGTGGTTAAAGTGAATAAACTCTGACAAAAAATTACAGTTATTTTAATGGCACAGATGCCATGTGTGTTAGCATTAACTGCTATTGTTATCCCTTATACTACAATTTCACCTCAGTCATTATTGTCACACACACACAAACATGATTACAAGTGACACACAAGACGACTCAGCTACAGATTTGGTTACCGCTGACAGTAAAATGTGGTATTGGAACACTTTTTCAACACTTGCCTTCTTATAAAACTCTCTGGAAGTGCACAGCTGACCAGGAACACATGAACACCAATAAAAATACGTATGAACATTAAAGAAATGCCGACTGGAAAGTAAATCAGCAACAGCAGAAGAACGACAGCATCTTTGGGAAACCTGCACAAAAACAGAGCAGAATAAAAAAAAAATGACATTTGGAATAGAAAACACAAAAGAAAAACAAATCTAAATGTAAATTAGAGAATTTAAGTGATTTCCAGGGGAGCTGTAGCAAGATTGCTTTATCCTGTGCCGATTATATTTCAAATGAACCAACACATTTTTAGCCCTTTTTTATTTCCCAATTTCAAAATACACACCTCACCATCAGCCTCAAAAATACCGTTCTGTGATTTGAATGACAGCATCTTTCACAACCTACTGATCTTCTTCCTTTTATTACTGGATAAATGTGCACTGAGCCATAGCATGAACTCACATCAGAGTTTAACCATTTCACTCTATTGTTATTCAACTATGCAATGATATCCAATGATACAATACTGTGAAAAAGAGCCATCCATAATCTGTTTATGTTTTGATACGAAATGGTTATAGGTAGGGATGGGTATTGATAAGATTTTCACGATTCCGATTCCATTTTCGATTCTATTTAACGATTCGATTCTTTATCGATTCTTTTTAAAAAAGGAGAACACTAAGGTCGATTAGCTTAGAACTTTGTTTTACATTTTCTCTTTGAACAAGATAGAAATTTAGGAGTAGCATGGCCTTACAAACCCAACAGTAAGATTTTAAGAGATCCAGCCTACGGCTCTTCGATGGGGTGTCACAGGGTCCCCAGGAAATTTTTTTGTAAATGTAAAATAATAAAATAAATATTCTTCTGTAGCAATAACAAAGTGTAACATAAATTATTCTGTAGCAATTACACAAGAATATCCAGTAATGTCCCTGCCTACAATTAAACACATTCCGAAAATCGGGGGCATCTGCTGTGGCAAATGGGTGCAAGCCTTTGACCACAAACTTAGTCACTGCTTGGTGACATTCGTCTATCCTGGCCTGAAAGGAGACGCTACCGGTAGACTGCAGCGAGAACTGCCAGCATCTGAGCCGGCCAGACTCTGCTAACATAATATGCACCGTTAGTTGATTATTTACCTGCCGCATTAACGGGAGAGGACGTGCAAACGTTACCGCTGCTGCTGGGTTGAGATTCACGAGTCCGGAGTGGAATTAAAAACACGACATTCATTTAAGGTCATCGCGTGTTTTGTGAGCAAATGCTTTTGCATATTCGTAGCGTTTCCTCCCTTAAATGAAATATCTACTTTGCAAGTTGCCCTGTTGTCATCCGTTCTCGTAAAGTATGACCAAACTTTTGAGCGTTTGAGCCGCCGTGTTTCCTGCCAGGTAAATGACGCTCCGCAACGTAGTGACGTCATTCGGGGCTACTGGAATCGATAAGGGAATCATTGGCAAAAATGGCAAACAATTCCAAGGTTCTCAACAAGAACCGGTTTTCGATACCCATCCCTAGTTATAGGTGCAGGTATTTATTGCAACATGTTCAAACACACACTGAAATCCAGTACGTAAATCAAAAACAGAGTTTGTACAATTCCAAGCTTTCCTATTGTTTTCCAATCTTCTAGGATGACATTCAAAGCTCTTCTCTCTGTCAAGATGAACCATCACTTCTAGTATAGTGTTGAGGTCTGGGGTCTGTGGAGGCAAATTCATGCTTGATGGTAGAGCTGGGCGATAGAACGATAACGATATGTATCGCGAAATAACTTTTTCTCGATAGAAAAATTAAACTAATGCGATAGACCTCACCGCTCTTGGCCTCTTAAAAAGAAAAGAAAAAAAAGAAAAGAAAAAAGAACAGCCAGTTCAAATTAAGTAGCGCAGAGCCGAACCAATCACAGCCGCAGCGTCACGTCACATGACTTGTTACGTACAGCACAAGTGCCAAGCCGCACATGTGTATTTGTTAGTGAAGCAGCGGTGACGCCCGGGTAACGTAGGAAATGAGTGTGCCGACTAGAAAAATCAACCGAGCGTGACTGAAGGTTACCGAAGATAAAACAGATGATGGTTCCAATGCCGGAGAGATTGTCGACCGGAAGAGCCAGAGAAGTTCCGTAGTGTGAAGGTATTTCGGTTATTTCAAGTCTGACAAAAACAGAGCACGTTAAATTGTGCCGAAAGCAAGTCTGGAAATACAATAAAGCGGTGCATGCTCAATCTCTGGCTGGAAGCGCTAATTCGTCATTCGGCTTTTGTCAGACTAAAGTAACTGTTAAAACTGTTTGAAAAGCTCAGCTATACAACAAGGAGATATTGAGAATTTTCTTTTAGTTCTCAGTTTATTTGATATTGACAAAAGTTAGTCAGTTTTGTCTGATCTTCTGTAAAACAAACTAAGATTTATTTTTAGAATTAATATTTTGTTTCTAAGTGGAATTGACAATTTAGTCTGTTTCGTTTGTTCTATTTTGAAACGTAAACGCTTTAGCGGCTGCCTTTTGTGTAGTTTGCAATATTTGCCTTTATTTATCTGAAAAAGGCTCATGTTCCTTAAGTACATCTACCCTGTTGAACTTATTATGGGAAATAAATATTTAAATCAAAACAAGCTGCTGATTATTTCACATTTTACTTGTGAGCAACGACACATTTAAATCTTACAAATATAGTTGTTTGGCTTATATCGTGATGGATATCGTTATCGCCTGAAATGAAAAAAACATATTGTGATATGAAAAAATCTTATATCGCCCAGCTCTACTTGATGGTATTCCAATTTGTGCTTTTCTATTCAGGTATGTTTTTCATGTGGCTGCAGACACTCACTGTTGCAATTCTTTCCTGTTCATACTGAAGAGGAGTTGAACCAAAAACGTGGATTCATTACTCCATCATCCCGCTGTCCTCCACTGATCTTGTGTAATTTTCATACTTCATCCTTTTCTCCTCTTTTCCCTTCCTTAAAAAGGGCTTCTTGACAGCGACCCTTAGACTGAGACCATTTCCAATGAGTCTTCAGTGAACAGTAGCTGGATTAACTAAAGGGGGAGATGTATCTCTCAGGTCCTGTCAGGTCTATGGCAGATTTTTTTCCCTGTTTCTTAAGGACTGTTTCCTGTTTCTCAAGGACATGACTTTCAGACGCTTGCCGTAGATTTTTTTTTTTTTTTAAGCCAACCACTTCATCTGTCCCCCTCTTGTCCAGTTTCCTCATATTTTCATGCTAGCAGATCTCGGCATGAAAATTTGAGGAGAATCACCTTTTTCTAGAAAGCATATTATTCGACATCTGCCAAACTGTTATTTTTGACATTTTTCACAGATTCAACTAAAGAAATGGGAACATTTTATAGGTTTTTTCTTTTATAGACTGCAAGTAAAAAAGTGCCAAAAGATACAATGTAAAATTACTTGTTTTTGTTACCAAGTTTTCTGTTATGTAAAGATACAACATCATCCCTTGCATTAGGTGCTTTTTGTTGTTTGGGTCAACTGCAGGGCCAGATGCATCTTTCAGGTCCTGTGACATGACTTTTACTGGCTCATCTGCTGTTGATAATTTTTAAAGCACTGCCAATTCTTTTGTCCTCCCCTTATCCAGTTTCCTAAAAACAAATTAACTGGACACTGCACACTATAGTGTGCTGCAATATGCCAAATTTTCAGCAAATAGCACTTTGGGAATCACCTTGTTGTGACAAAAGTATTATATTACATCTGTCAAACTTTTATCTTTATGTTTTTGTGACAGACTGCTGATAACAAAGTAATTTAACATTGTTTTTTTGCCAAGCTGTCTGCTATGTGTAGACACAACACTGTTTTAATTCCTGAATGAATCATAGATCAGTGTTAAGTGGTCCGTTACAAGGACTGGACTGAAAATGAGTGAAAAGGCAGCAAGTGTCTAAAGAATAACGTTGAAAGACCTTCAGAAATCCTGGAAAACCGATGCTCAAGACCACTTAAAAAAAATTACAAACAAGTCTGACGCTATGAAAGGTGGCTCGAGGCACAGTATTGTACACACGTTATGAAAACCAATTGCAGAGTTAGAGCTGCTTTTGTTTCAGCGTTTTTACCAATATTACACGTGTCACTACTCGATTCCCTCTGCAGTCAAGCGCTAGAGAACATTTCGAAACCTCATTATAAACGCTCTAGTCGTCATTACCACTGTCTACAGGCCTCATGTCCGCCCTCTATTCAAGTCAAAAACACTTTAGTATTGAAGTACACAACGACAGCTACTTTTGCTGTCAGTTATTTTCTCCCCTTTACACGCGCTCAGATATAATCTCTGACTTTTGCGTCTAGATCAAAAAAATTTAAGTCTCTTAAACTTCACTCTTCGTTGTCACAAGGCAAGCAGTGAATACATGAAACCAACAGACATCTAAGATTAGCTAGTTCACGCATTTCATGCTGCAACTGATCGGCGTGCTTATTAAAATTAGCACTGGACAAGGTTTCATGTCAAACGCTATCCATGACTTGTTTACTATAACGTTGCCAGTATCGGCTATCTAGCTGCATGTTTTCCAGATTATTTAATTAATACATCTTCTACTATACTGGTTAGCTGCCCGATAATAAACGTCGTCGACGCCATATCCTCTGTGTATTTCTTCAACGCTTATTGCGCTAATTAGCGCTAAGTGAAGGTTAACCGAGCAGTTTACACTACTTAGCAGTTAGCTGACTTACCGACGAAAGTCAAACATGTCTTCAATTCCCCGAGTCTCCATGTCTGCCAGTCAGACCTTCAGAGGCTAATGCTAAAAATACAACCTGACCCCTAAATATAAATTAGTCATTACTTTCACGACTGCACCTCTGTCATGCGGTGGGTAAACTGGAAACTGGGTAGCTTTAAGGAGCCAGTTAGATTATAGTACAGCCTTTTCAGACCGCTTAAGTACGCGACTTTAAAATGTTAGCTTTGTGGTTAAATAGCGCTAGCACAGATAATGGCTTCAGTCGGCACGACACCACTTCCGGTCCGTTGTTAGAATCCCCTAGAATAAAAGCGCCATCTCTACAAAAGTAAATTTATATAAATAATACTCGTTTCTAAATTCTACAGAAGTGTATAAACCTTTGTAACCAACCCTTCAATTACTTTCATGATTTCATGTAATCTATAACTGTGTGTTCATCTTTATCGGAGTGTCAGGTGCGATACTTTCATAATAAAAGAGCAGCAGAAAAAAAAATAATAAAGGAGCACTAAAGACATCCCCTAAAGGAAACGCTGGTAAAATGTTATAGTATTTTGTCTACCTCTAGTGGCGAAATCTGATAAATTTTAATTTGCAGGAAACGTAGTATGTAATGTTACCTTTTTATTTTAATGAATCTATTTATTTATTCCAATGATGAGCTGAACGTCTTTAGTCGCCCCTCTTTTCTTTTTTACTGTGTTTATAGTCAGCAGTTTAGGGGGGAAAGAGTAGCCATTTATTGAAACATGTGCAAATATATGTGTAAATACAGTATATAAGGCAAAACCAGAGTTTGTACAACTCTAAAGAGCTTGAAACACCACTGGCTGAAATGCAGCACCAAACGGTGACAGAACCTCCACTAATAGCTGTTTGGTTCTTTGCTAAGTTGTCTGTGAAGTGCAGGCACCACCCTGTTTCATCTCTTGAATGCTCGAATGATTCATAGGTCAGTGCCAGGTACCTTAACAAACAAACAAACGAAAAACAATATAATCTGAAAATGATCAGGCACAACGACTGGACTGAAGTGAGCGAATATCAGCCAAATATCCAAACCACAGCTTCAGAAAGCCTGAAAGACAACTGCTGCCTACAGACCGATCAGCGACAGCCCTGCCTGAATAATAAATATGGGAATTATCATGAACACGCCCCCCATAAAAGCTCAGTCTCCGCCTACAGCCTCTCAGATTTGTTTGGTAATAGCCTCTTGTATAATCGCTGCTTAACTGAAAATCGATTTTTGTGTGAAGAAAACAAACACGGCTGTTATTTAAGTGAGCGCAGACTAGACATCGGTCCTTTCAGTCGGTGACAACACCCGGGGCCAACATGGTGGTCATATTGCGCTGTTGCCCGCTAATCCAGTGGCTGTCCCTGGCCGTTTTGCTGGGCTCGGTTGTCGGACTCGGTGAGGACCTCGACCGGCCTCTCTTAGGGCCCCCCGGCTCTTCTATCCGGGTCCACGAGTCCGACCCGGGTCTTAAGAAGGCTCTGGCCTTTGCAGAGGAGCGATACAACCGGGTCTCCAATGCGATGCATCTCCGCAGAGTCAGCCGGGTCATCTCTGCCAACAAACAGGTATAATTATTATTGGTGGCTTTCCTTCTGATTTCATAATATTTATTCAACATATTTTGGTCTTCTAGTGGACTTGCAAAGAACGGTTAAAGTATTGTTTGTCGATTTATCTCATTGTAATAAGCGTTGTGTCTGCTCGGTTTTTTGTAAACAAGTTCGCTGCTGGAGGGTCGTCATTTTAGCTAAACACAGGCCGGAAAAAGGGGCGACGTACCTTCAAAATAATAGCGTAAACGTGTTTGCTGCGCTGGTCAGCAAGGGATTATGCTTAAACAAAAAACAAACAAACATGTATTCCTATTTATTTAAAAATTTCAAGAGTTTTCAACTTAGAGAACAGTATTTATTATTTTATTTTACCTATTTTTATTCTCAAGCGTTCAAGATAAGATTTTATGCGCGGTTTATTGCAGCCGGAAGTTATGTCCTTGACTTTAAATTAACAATGTCTCCGCAGTGTGGCTTGTTTGGAGCATAACGAGCGTCCATAAAACAATAACACGCATTATATTTTATACCACGTCTAAATAAAAATCTTTATTTATACCAAGATTTTGTGTCTTTAAATTAAAGACGTCCGAATGTTTGTGTGTTCATCTGTATTCCAGCTGGTTAAAGGGATCCGTTACACTTTAACAGTGGAGCTGAGTAACACTCAATGTAAGAAGTCCACCATGCTCAGGACATGTGACTTCTATCCCGAGTTAAATCAACTCAAGGTAGGTTGTGTGTGTGTGTGTGTGTGTGTGTGTGTGTGTGTGTGTGTGTGTGTGTGTGTGTGTGTGTGTG